CCCCCCAGAACCCAAAAACTTTGATTTCTCGTAAGGTGCCGAACGGGTCATAATAGAAACACCGTCCGATCCCTAGTCGGCATAGTTTTTTGAAGTCACGCTGGAGAGTGGTCGTGAGAATAAAGTTAGTGGGGATAGTCAGTAAGACCCACACCCCACCGCCTTAATCCGACAACCCCCCTTTGTTTGCCAGGATCAGCGCCGGCGAGACCCAGATAGCGTAACTGGGCACTGACCTCGAATGGACTGTGTATGCGGCCGAGTTGAAAGGTGTTAAGCTGGCCCTGTTCTCCTCTCTTGCGGGGGACACCCTGCTGAGCTGCACCCCTGTCGGACAAATACAGGTTTTCACCGACAGCGACGCTGCAATCCATGCAGCTGGTGTCCCCGGCCGTCCTTTCCGGACAGCTGTATTTGAGGGCCACCTATGGCCGATACAAAGCTCTTCAAGGTGAAAACTCCGTTGGTTTTATGATTGACTGGATCGCTGCGCCCGTAGGGGTGGAAGAGACCGAGCTTGCAGACTTTTACGGCAAAGCGGGCTGCGGGATGTCCTGACCGGGCCAGGACAGCATTCTCTCCGGCTGGCATCAGCTGCCAAAAGGACCGTTCGCAAGAAATTCCAGGAGCAGTGTGAGACCCCGGTCATTCCATGCCTTATCACGTGGCTATTCGACACATGTCACGTGATTCTATCAGTTGTCGCCCCCTGCGTATGCCAACAGCCGGAGGATATTCATCAGACGTTATTTGCCGCAAAGTTCACAATGAAGATGCTGAGGGCTGTACAGGACAGGCCGAACGAAGAGGAGGAAGTCACTTGTAGGTATGGGAAAGAAAACAGTGTCTTAAACGAGCTGGCAATCACCCACTGAAATATATATATACTGACATGACCCCAAGACATTCCAATACATAGTACCCGCATTCCTTGTCTTGACAACCAAATGCGCATGCGCATGTGATTATGAAGATGCCCACACAGAGAATCGGCATATCCCACTTTCTATATAAGATCAAGGCGCAAGAGAGTCACCGCTGCAGCTGCAGGGAGAGATCCCCCTGCCCCCAAGCACGTTCTGCTGGCATGCTCCCGCTTTGCAAGCCTATGCAATTAGATGTCTGATAATATCCCCGCACGCACGGATCTTGGTGCTCCTACTAACTATGATTCGCTCATATCATACCCGCTGGCGATCCGCTACATCGCCGAATTTATGCTGCAAACAGGCTTGCTCGGGCAGTTCAGCCAGGAACACGTAGGCCTCAGGGCCATGGGAATAGACGCTGAAGACGCTGGGTAAAAGGAACGGCACACGCCCTGTTTGAGTCAGCAGGGAAGGTCAAACGAGCAGAAGGAACAGGCATGTTGGGAGCAAGATAATGGACGAAGAACGAGGAGAATGGGCTCGCAGGCAGCCGGCCGGCTGCGACACTCGTTTGTATTTGTGTGACTAGCTTTTGCTACTGGCTTTTGATGTTTAGTTGTGCCTGGCTACGGCAACGAGTTTCCTACGTCGCAAATTGCGTTGATGTCGTGTGTTTAATGCAAGTTTGAGGGCTCCGAAGGCGTTCGGGGCCATATTTTTGCTTTAAAAGGTGAAGCACCTTCATAGCTGGCATCTAACTAAGGCGGCTCGATCGGGTATAAGAATACTAATTGAATTGAATTGAATTGAATTGAATTGAATTGAATTGAAGGTCATAGCTCTACAGAAGGTAACCCTCGCTCCGCACACCCCTCGTCAACACTCGCCCGCAGACTTCTTATCGCAGCTTCCCACGCCATTGCAGTCTGTGAACTGCTACCCGTTCGGCCACTTGGGTCTGGCGTCTTGAATGCATCCGACTCCTTCGCATCCTGCTCGTCATCGACCAGCCACGCTAGCCAGGAAAGAACAGACGTCGCCTTGTCTAAATCCTTTTCATCCACAATGACACTTTTAAGATATCTTCCAACGGAGAGCACGTCTTCTTCAAAGGGACCCTCGCTGCTGAATGCCTCGTGCCACGAACTCATCGCATCTCGCAGGTCAGACATATTCGTGAGCCTCTGTGAGGTAAAAGTGGGTCGGTCTGGTAATGGGGGTAGGACGAGCCGTTTCTCTGGTATTGAAGGCGGATCTGTAGCCGGAACTGTAGTCGAATCTGAGGTTATTGGTGAAGCAGCTCGCGGCGCCGAGGCGGGGTTGACGGCTGGTCGCTGTAGGTTCTTTGTTCGTTGTTGCTCTTGGAGCACCTCGCGGCGTATGTCCTCCGGGAGCGCGGCGAGAAAGTCAGCCGAGGCATCCGTCTGCTCGGGTGGAGGTGAGTGACGTTCGGCGGGAGCTGAAGATGAAGCCGTGGCTCTAGGAATGACGAACCGAGCCTGTGTGAAGGCCGGATTGCCGACTGACTTGGTGCTAGGCCGCCCTCGTCGTTTCTTCGGAGGACTGGTGGGCTTCCGCATCATAAGACTGCCGGCAGAGGAGGGCCGAGACGGCAGCAAGGGAGCAGCGGGAGATGGTGTGGGTTGCGGGCCGGGACTTACCGATGGCCGGCTGTAGTAGCCTAATATCTCGGCGCGCACATCCTCTGGCAAGGCAGCCAAGGCCTCTGGGTCGAGCTCTGACTGGGGAGGAAGTTCTGCAGGGGCGGGCGCCCATGTGCGACTTGTAGGGCATGGGGACTCGGAGCGTGACTCCTCTCGAGGTCTACCCTGAGCGATGAGGCGAGAACGGATATCGTTCGGCAGCTCAGCAACGACTTTGGGGTCAGTCTGTGAGGGCAAAATGAACTGAGTTCCCGAAACATTGAGCAGCCGGCTACTCTCACTGAATAAAGGAACGGGCTTCACCGACTCGGTCTCCCCTTTCCGAGGACTGTCTAGAATATCAGGATCGTGACGTTCAATGCTTTTGCGGACCGGAGATGCTTTGAAATTGAGTTGTCGTTGTCCAGATTTTGATGGAGAGCCCGCCTGGAGATGCTGGAGTTTGGTCATCTGAACACCCAGCCCTCTCAAGTCGCCGGGTGATAGATTCATGCTTCGTAGCATGGCAACTGCCTCTTTGCCCAGAATATCGGCTGCATCCGTGGCAACGCCGAGGGCGACACTTTTGTTGAACACATCGCACTTGCCATGGCCCAGATGTTTCACTGGTTCTAACGGCGCGTCGAGTGCTCTGCGCATGACCTTGAGAGTTAATTGTTGGCCTTTTACAAGATTTTCGACCAGTCTGCGATGCAGTTCCTGGCACAAAGACCGCACGAAGTCCTCAGCTTGGGTCTGATTCACGAAGCGAATCCCCCAATTGACTTCGGCAGATACTGACTTCCTAAGAACTTCGTTTCCGACTTCAGTTCGATCGATACCGCGGGCATATTCCCAGATCTTGACTCCGGTTTTAGGTCCAAGGCTCGTCGTGAGTCTATCGCGGGTGAGTTCTCGAACATCTTTGACAATTTTGACTCCCAATTCCTCTAACTTTGCACCCAGGCTATATCCCACTCCAGGAAGATCTTGAACTGTCAAGTTACCGATGTAATCAAGAACCGCATCGGGTTTGAGCTGAAATTGACCTGCCGGCTTCGCTTTCCGTAGGGCAACCTTAGCCAGAAGAATGTTGCCTCCAATACCCACGGAAACAGCGCAGCCCGTCTCTTTCTTTACAGTGGCTCGTAAGTCGTCGGCTATTTCGTCCGCCCTTGCCTGTTCCCTATAGAGTGAACCCTCCGAGATGCCCCTACCATCCGAGCCACCAGCCTCCAGACATTGTGTAGTGATGTCCACCAGGGCCTCGTCAATGCTGACACTCTGCACGATACCATCCACCGAAAGAATGGCACTGTAGAACTTCCGACTGGCCTCTTCGTATGCTGGAAAATCATAAGGTACCACCTTTAGCTCTGGGCAGGTCTGCAGCGCTCCCTTCATCCACATGCCGTTCTTGATGCCATGGGCTCGGGCTTCGTAGTTGCAACTCGCTATCTCCGAGCCCGAGCCAGTGCCGTGCGCCACCGCAACAGGCTTTCCCTGCAGCTCCGGGCGCTTCAAGGTCGACACGGCGGCAAAGAAGCAATCGAAATCGACATGCATGATATACCTCCGGGCCCCGGGGGCTGGCTTCTTGCGTTTCACCTGTGACAGCAATTTTTCTTTGGCTGCAGACTGCAAGTGGGCTTTGAGATCGGCCTTCCATGTTGACAAATGATGTAGACGAGATTCGCTGTAAAACTGTTGGATGAATTGGGGATTTGCAACACTGGAATTCCTCATGTGTGGATCCGACAACAACTGCGCATTGTACTCTTCGGAAGTCATTGCTGGCTTAGTCAGGAAGGATTCGCGCAACAGCGGCAGTGCTGCTGAAGGTGCCTCAGTTTGGTCATTTTCTTGTTTGTTTGAATGGTTATTTATTTCCTCATCCTCTACTGGTGGTTGTTTATCCGGCGTCTCCGCTCGAACTTCTTCCCGCGGAGACGAAATGTTGGGAGTCCTGCTTACTTCATCCAAAGAGGCAAAACTTGGAAACTGGCTGTAGTCCGACTGGGACCCGTTATTGGGCGATGGATCCTCTCTGTTAAGTATCTCTGAGCGTGTAGGTGGTGACCGTTGTACATCTGCGTTCTCAACAGACAATGCAGCCTGTTGAAGTTGGTTTGTATACCAACTGGTATCAGTTTGCTCGCGATAGCCAGATCGCGGACTATTCATCTGACTGACCATACGGCCATCATCGAACCTGAGCACCTTCTGGGATTGACCCTCATCAACGACCCGAAACGAGTCCCATGGCAGCATGCGACCTGCCTTGACACTCTCAACGACCCATGCCGGCTTGACAATGCGATAGCGGCGAAACTCTTCGCGCTTCTTGGGGGTCAAGGCACTGGCAATGATGTGGGTAGCATCTGTTTTGCCATTTAGATACTGTAGGAACCCCCCGCCATGGCTCACGATAAGGCGATGCAGGTCTTGTAGTGAGGGTTGGGTGTAGCCATTGACGTGCGCCACCACACCGCGGAAGATAGGCGGACAGTTTGCCGCAGAGGAGCGGATCTCGGCATCGCGATTCTGGAGCTTGATCTTCTTGCGTCGCATGTAATCGCTGAACCCACCAAAGGCGGATGCCTCGTACTCCTCGCCGGCCTCATTGTCGAAGTGGTGGTTCTGGATGCGCTTGCGCACCGCGCTGGAGTTTTCGTGCAGGCGCGAGCCCATGCTGGGCGCGATAACGGGCTAGTCCAACAGGCTGTGGGGGCGTTGGATAGATAGTCGAAGGGAATTCGGTTGCTCTTTTGTAGGCGGTGAGTCCCGGACGTGACAGGAACGCCACACGTGAGCACGTGATGCATTTATTCGGACATTCTGGTCATGTGCCTAACAGCCTCGGCATTTTAGATACATTCTACTGACTGGGTAATGAACGCAGACCAAATTCGTGGGTAGACTTGGCACTAGATTAATATGTGTGATTCAGATAGTGTTAAGAATTATTACTATAGCCCACATATAATGCTGCGTTACCGACTAGTTTTCAACCCACCCAACCCTACTGAATCACACTCTGGTTGCGATACAAGTCGCAGGTATGTGGGCGCTGCACACAGTACTTGGGAACTAAGGCCTTCGCCTGCACCCCATTAGCTACCAAGTATTCACGGAAGTTTAGGATTCGCTGCGTCATCAGCGTCGTGCGCTTCTGCCCATGCTCGTCCCGATTCCCAGACCATACCAGTTCCGCCAGGGCAGCGGCGCGCGGCCAGAACTGACTGGAGACAGTCACGTCATCTACTTGTTCTGACCAGAGCGGTGCCACTGCACCCACAATATGCTGTGCCTGGGCGTCAGTCAGATTTTGCGTAAAGTCATAGTCGTAGATACGCTGCCATGTCTTGTATGGTGCACACCATGAGCCCCCATTTCCGCCATAATTAAAGTTGGGTGTGTTTGGATCCGGATTACTCATGACATCGTAGCGGGGATCATTTGTCACAAAGCCACCCATTCCACAATCCAGATACATGAAGTCTGACGAGGATACAATCACATCATAGCCCTTGGCCGTCAGCTGGTCAATATAATCCAGTCCGTTATTCCAGGTCTGCATCACAATATCCGTAGGAACACTATGCGCATGCTCTGTTGATAATACAATATCTTCCCACATAACCAATTGCCGTGAGTTACTATAATTCTGGAAGATCGGTACGGCATGATCTACCCAGTACTGGGCTAGATCATTATACGTACGTGTCGGATCCTCCGCGAACCACTGAGTAACATAGCTGCTGAAGTTAAAGCAGTTAGGCTGAATCTCATCTGCTCCCACGTGGAACCAATTATCAGGGAAGATGCTTGAGAGCTCATTGTACACCTCTCGGACCACATCATATGTGCCGTTGTAGATGATGTCCATCTGTCCCGGTGGTGGTTCAACTGCAGTGTGCAGGGCGTAATCATCATTAGACCACCAAGAATCCACGCAGGTCACCATCTGGGGATCAACCTGCTTCCAACCAGAAGCGGAGTGGCTGGGCATATCAATCTCAGGGATAACCCGTACGCCGCGTGCTCGAGCATATGCTACGATATTGCGCATGTCCGCGTGCGAATACACCTCGCGCGAGGAGTATGCATCGTGGATCATCTCTGGATAGGCATCAATTTGTACAGGCCATGATTGCGTGTCCTCCATATGCCAGTGTAGAACATTGAGCTTGGAAAGCGACATGCCATCTAGCTGTTCATAGATCTTGTTAACTGAGATGAAATTTCGGCCGGTATCAAGCATGATGCCTCTATAAGGATAGAGAGGTGCATCCTGGATCTTGACTGGCTTCTCAATGATCAAGCCGCCCTGTCCATCAGAGATAATCAATTGCTGGAGAGTAGTAAAGGCGTGAAGTGCTCCCCAGACAGTGGGTGCTTCAATGACTACTGAAGTAGCGCTCTCGGAGACCTCCAGCGTGTAAGACTCGTCCACTCCATGCTGCAGGTCCGCGTCAACATCCGAAATGTTCACATCGACAAACTGTAGCGTTGGCAGTGCCTGCGAGGACCGTTTAACTCCGGCCGCAGCGGTGGGAAAGGGTTGGAAGGATGGAAAGGGGCCTTCAGTCGCTGCGGGCACCCATTGCAGGGAGACAATAGTGTCCCAAGCACGATTCCATCCATTGGCGAGAATGAAGTCGGGTGTATCTTGAGAGACGCGGAGACTGACGAAGCCGGCCAGCTGCTTGGGACCTGACGATGAAGCCCAAGTGATATTGCGTGGAGCTGGCAAGGGATTGACCTTGACGGCGGCGGCCCCGGCCACGAGCAGCGTGAGACACGCCGGCCAGAGACGAGCAAGGAGCATGGTGAAATTAGCAATCAGAAGGAGAGCCGATGAAGTGTGGAGGAAAGCATGGAGGGAAGACTGGGGTTAAAGAAGCAAATAGGAATAAGGATCAGCGGTGGCTGGAGGGGCAAATAAAGGGGGACAACAGAGGAGGGGGTGGCCAGGAGGGGGCCATGCATTGGGAATTGATCAAAGCTAGTTTCAGTTGGCATTCCGCAGTCAGTTACTGATTTTGGTCCTCGATAAGCGTGTCCCCGCGGGTGAAGTCCTATCCGTAGATTTATTGGACCGGTCGCATTCTTGTTATCTGGCAGGATTCACTAGTGAGCTAGCTAATTGAACTAGACAGTGAAGGGTCGGCAGAAAATGATCGATCTACATCGCTTAATCGGTTAGTTCCGGTAGAGAAGTGACTTCAACCGAATTTGTACTAGAGTGAGTAGTGAGTGCAATTCTGATGAACAGCAGAACCTCTGTTTATTGTGCGCTGCCAGGAATCTGCCCCCAGTAATCTGCCGTGGGCGTCAATCAGTACGAATGTTTGGGGCCAGGGCCATACTGTCCCACAGCCGACTCAGTCAACCCAACTCGTGAGCTGGTAGACGATTAGTCTAACTAGTATAGCATGTAGTAAGAGCTAAACTCCACATCACCTTTGCCAATGAGAAGCGCGACTTGAGAGAAGCCAAAGAGTAGCCTGTTTGCGAGTCCGTCAGCAGACCAGGCACAGACCGCAACTGGAGAGACATAGCAGCGCCACATTTGCAGTAGAGTGTAACCCAAGACCAGGGTGAAGCCGGGCGCCGAAACCGTCCTACTTGAGACGACACTGTGATCTTTGCCAATGGGAAATGAGGAGGAGTACTAAAGTACCAGTTACTCTGGGTGTCCTGTGTCCTGTGTCCTGTGTCCTATGTCCTATGTAGTGTGTGTAGATTCATAATGGCTGGGAGTCACATGACGGGCGCGAAATGACGTCGGCCCGACTGTCCACCGCGTCTCGGCGCGTCTTCTTCTCTGACAATATTACCCCGTATTATCCTCAGATTTCTCTGCATTGGCTTGGACAGCCACGCAGACGTGGGGAAACAATCCCATCCACGATGAACATTCATCATGATGATGATGACCGCCCGTTGAAGAAGAGGCGTTTCTTTGCGGATGACGAAGATCTCCTCACTCCCCAGCCATCCACTGATTCTGTCACAGCAAGTCTCCACACGCCCGCTTCCTCGTCCCTGACCGATCGAGGGGCCCAGCTACAGCCTACACGATCTGAAAACGGCCCGGAAATTATAGAGGTGCCCTTGCCGGATAGTTCCTCGCGGGTCGAGGGTCATACCGTGCCGCAGGTCGAGCAAGAGGCTGTGCAGGGGGAACACAATGCGATTTCGAGGAGGACAGAGGATGCCTTACTACGGGTGGACTTTGATGGTTTCGACATTTCAACATTTACTAGTATTATAGGGGAACGTCTCTCGGCGGATTCGATACAAAATATTCGAAATGCGGCTGGCGACGACCTTGAACGGGCGGTCAACATCTATTTCGATGGCTCTTGGAAGAAATCCCCAGCTCCTCGTGCTCAGAACCAAACCACTCTCACGGCTCGCCAACGCCCGCTTTCTGCACAGCCCCAAAGGACCTCCACACCCCTATCAGCATCCTCTCACCCACGCACCCAGACTCCGACGCCTGACAAGGCCACAACTCGCCCTGCGGCCCAGCCTCCATTAAGATACATAGGTGCATTTGGTGTTGGAGCCTGGGCTACAAGGAGTGGATCTGGATTTCTCAGACATGGGGATCTTGTAAATATTGAGCGCACACGGTCTCAGCCGCTCTCGAAGCGGAACCGCGCCGGGAAGCTCGTTTCAAACCAGAAAAGTGATTTTCTCACCCGTTTTACCACTAAATCGGGCCAGGAAATAGGAAGATTGCCCCGGGAAATAGCTGAATGGGTCTCAACCCTGCTGGATCAAAGGGTGTGTACATTTGAAGGTGTATGCGTATACGTGCCGGACCGGGTCCGGGTGAATGACACCATCTATCTGCAGCTGCGATGCTACTTGCGCATCGAGGCCTTCCAGCCACGGATCTTCAGTCAATCGATGGACGACAATAGGTCCGTTGCATTTTTCGAAGAGAAAGAAAGTGCGGATGAAAAGGCGCTGCGGCTCCGCCAGGTGGCCTTGGTGAAGCTATTTGATGAAATCCATCTCCAACCGACGTCCACCAATGATATGACGAGGAACCACAAGAAAGAGGGATTGCTTCGTGCGGCGGAGATGGCTGAACAACATGAGCGAGTAAAGAAAGAGAACCAAGCAAACGACGACTCCTCGGAGGAGGATAGCCCAGAGCTTGAAGAGGACCAGCTTGATACCCTGTATAAGAAAGCTCAGTCGTTCGATTTTAGCATGCCTGAAGCAGAGCCTGCCTCGTCATTTACCATGCATCTTCGAAAGTACCAGAGGCAGGCACTGTATTGGATGCTTGCAAAGGAAAAGGATAATAGGTCTGCAAGGGAGACGTCGCTCCATCCCTTATGGGAGGAGTACAGCTGGCCGTCCAGAGATGTCGACGACAAAGAACTCCCGGCTGTGGATGGCATTGACCACTTCTACGTCAACCCTTACTCTGGCGAGCTTAGCCTTGACTTTCCTGTTCAAGAACAGCATTGCCTTGGGGGTATCCTCGCAGACGAAATGGGCTTGGGTAAGACAATTGAGATGCTCAGTCTGGTCCACTCGCATCGCATTACGCCCCAGAAGCCCAGTAATCTTGTGAGGTTGCCCCAGTCGGCTTCCGGGGTCGTACCTGCACCATATAGCACACTTGTGATTGCACCCACATCCCTCCTCTCGCAGTGGGAAAGTGAGGCGCTAAAGGCTTCGCAGCCGGGAACAATGAACGTCCTCATGTATTACGGGGCAGATACAAAAATAAACCTCAGGGATCTCTGTGCTTCTGGCAATGCCGCTGCCCCTAATCTGATTATAACCAGCTATGGCGTTGTTCTCTCGGAATATCGTCAGTACATGTCCGCGCTGCTCTCGTCTATGAGCTCTGGTGGCCTATTTTCCGTAGACTTCTTCCGAGTCATCGTCGATGAAGCTCACGTGATCAAGAATCGTCTGTCAAAGACAGCCAAAGCGTGTTATGAGCTCAAAGCAACCCATCGATGGGTACTCACAGGAACTCCTATTGTCAATCGACTGGAGGACTTGTTCAGCCTTGTGAGATTCCTCAAGGTTGAGCCATGGAACAACTTTTCGTTCTGGAAGACGTTCATAACAGTTCCTTTCGAATCCAAGGATTATGTTCGAGCTCTGAATGTCGTGCAAACCGTGCTAGAGCCGTTGGTTCTCCGACGTACCAAGACAATGAAGACACCCGAGGGTGAACCTTTAGTGCCTCTACCGCGTCGCACCATTACAATAGAACAAGTCGAACTTCCAGACCAGGAACGGCAGATTTATGATCTTATCTATACTCGGGCAAAGCAGACGTTCAATCACAATGTCGAAGCTGGCACTTTGTTGAAGTCCTATTCAACAATCTTCGCACAGATTCTCCGTCTTCGCCAGACTTGCTGTCACCCTATCCTCACTCGTAACAAAGCGATAGTTGCAGACGAGGAAGATGCAGCAGCCGCTGCTGACGCAACCAACGACCTTAAGGACGACATGGATCTCCAAGAACTCATTGACCGCTTCAAGGCATCTACCGAAGCAGCTGAATCCAACGAGCCTCAAGATTCATCTGCCAAATTTACCACCCATGCACTGAAACAAATCCAAAACGATGCCAGCGGCGAATGTCCCATTTGCTCGGAAGAGCCCATGATTGACCCTGCAGTCACAGCCTGCTGGCACAGTGCATGCAAGAAATGTCTGGAGAACTACATCCGCCATCAAACCGACAAGGGCATGGACCCTCGGTGTTTTTCATGCCGAGCACCCACCACGTCGCGAGACATCTTCGAAGTGGTTCGTCATGAAACCCCGAACGCCACTCCGGAGGACGATATATATAGCAGTACTCCTATCCCCTCTCAAGCACCTCCCCGAATCACACTCCGCCGCATTCACCCGCTTTCGCCGTCTGCCCATACATCTGCCAAAGTACATGCCCTTCTCGCTCACCTTACACGTGTCCCGGCCAATACCAAATCTGTTGTCTTTTCCCAATTCACCAGCTTCCTTGACCTCATTTCACCGCAACTCACGCGTGCGGGCATCAATCACGTCCGTCTGGACGGTACCATGCCACACAAAGCCCGCGCCGAAACCCTGGCCCAATTCAACCGAGCTGAAACCTTCGCCGACCAAACCGAAATTGACAACGATGTCGAAGCCAACGATTCAGCCCAGCTTCCTCTCTCCAAGGCAAAGCATAGACATGCGACCGCCCCGGCCCCTCCCACGGTTCTTCTTATCAGTCTCCGCGCTGGAGGTGTGGGCCTGAATCTCACGGCAGCTAGCAACGTCTTCATGATGGATCCTTGGTGGAGTTTTGCGATCGAGGCGCAGGCCATCGATCGGGTTCATCGCATGGGTCAGACACGGGATGTGCAAGTGACCCGTTTCGTGGTGAAGGACTCTATCGAGGGACGGATGTTGAGGGTCCAGGAACGGAAGATGAACATTGCAGGGTCTTTAGGGCTGAGGGTTGGTGGGGACGGCTCTGAGGATGATAAGAAGAAGGAGAGAATTGAGGAATTGAGGTTGTTGTTCGAATAGTTTCCATCTTGAGAGATAGGGATGGGGCCATTTGGCGCACATGTTATGATACCAATTTAGAGATATATTTCGGATGATACGTATAGCTGACCAGGTTTATATTGCTGGCTCACATAATGGCAGAGATGACATTCATGTTGGGAATTATATGATATTATTGAAGTGTTGCCCTCCAACTTTGGACTGAAGTGCTAGCAGTACTAAGTAGTATGCAGTATTGACTGCTGTTGCTGTCATAGCGATTCGCAGAAGAGATCATTGCTGGGCTGACAGGAATGAGTTGCTCCAAGTCAGGGGCAGCCATGCATGCGGTAATTAATTCCAGTGAAGGCTGACCATCCAGATATTACGAGCGGAAGCAAGGTTTAGAGGGCATCGAACAGATAAAGTGATTGGTGTCGGTTCACCGCCTCTATCGTGTAGCGTGAACTGAATAGTATAGCCCTATGGACGAAGATGGAAGCCTTCAACACCATAAGAGTCAGTTCAATACATAGTTTACTGCGTACGCTGTATCTCACACGCTCCGCCGTAATATTGAATACATTTGTTCTCCGATCTCCGCCAACCACTACATTGGGCCTGCATGATATCAGTCGTGGCCCCTTAACCGCTGAGTTGGCCCAAGGGATGTGCCTTGCTTACGGCACCGGCAGCACCCGAGTTAAGAACCCGGTGTCGGGCAGTCGAGCATTCTCCTCCTAATCCTTCTTGTAAGGTGCATGCCAGTTCCACAACATGGCCAATCTGCCCCAAGGAATTCTTCCGACCCTTCCTTGTGCTCTACCAAAGGCCGACCTGACCAGTGATTCTGATGCTGTTGGTATCGCGAAGGGCCTTAGCATCCCGCTGAGTAGCTTGTCGCTCGAACAATTTACCCCAGATGCCCTGTGGAGGGATACCTTTGCCTTGACTGGGACATTGCGAACGCTCTATTCTGCTGTTACTGTTTCCAAGGCATGGTATCAACGATGCCTTGCTCGCCAGGCAAAAGGTTTTCGGCTGAACCCTGATGCCGCACGGGCAGTATGCCCGGCACCAGGAATAGGCTGGATTGAGGTCCCATTTACCTTTGAGACTGCAGCTATACCGGCAACCACTTGCTCGGGCTTCGTCTCGCTGGTTCCGAATGAAAACGGTAGCTGGAAAATTTGGCTCCTGAGGACGATCCTGGACCAGTTCCAGAATCTCCCCAATGTGGATGAGTTGAAGCCTGGGCCCGCACCTACAAGACACCCTCTTCATGAGGGAGCAGCCTACGAATGTGTGGTTATTGGCTGTGGACAATCGGGTTTGAGTGTAGCTGGTCGACTGCAGGCACTGGGGGCGTCTTACCTGGTGGTGGACAAGGCTCCTCGCGTGGGTGACTCCTGGCTTCAGCGATATGAATCAATGAAATGTACTCCCTTACGGAATAAATACTTCCTCAACCCGCTTTATTCTCTCTTATACTGACGGAAGCAGTACATTCCGTTCGAGATGCCGCCCAGCTCCCGTTTGACCGCACCTTCACCGAGGATTATCCCGAGTTTATGAGCAGGGAGGATCTGGCCCGCGGATATCAAGCCTGGGCTGAGCGATACTGCATCGTATGCAGCCTCATTCAACCACTCACTGCGTCCGGCTAATAAGTCTAGAACATTTCATTCTCAACGGAGCTCACCTCGGGGGCCTGGGATGACAATCAACGTAAATGGACTCTCCATCTGCGCCTGAAACAAAACGAGCAAGTGACCACCAGAACCATTACCTGTTCTCACGTCGTAATGGCCATCGGCGCTGGAGGGCAGGAGCCCGTCCGACCCACTTATCCAGGGGAGGTAAGTTAACCCTCCATTGGGCATCGGCCAAGTTAACGAGAGTTCAGGACATATTCCAAGGGGAAATCATACACACCGCTCAATACAAAAGCCCTCGCCCATGGCAGGGTAAGCATGGTGTCATCATTGGGTCCGCTAACTCTGGTATGTCTGCGTACCACGTAGAATAAGCCCAATCTGACAAAACAGCACACGACACGGCAGCAGACATGGTTGGGACAGGAATGGCCTCGATAACTATGATCCAGCGCAGTCGGACATGTAAGGAACCCGTCACTCACACCTCTAAAGTTTCACTGCTTGTCTAATTAGGTATTGCTTCAAGTATTATCCCAAAAGAGTTCATGCCGCAACGAGCCCAAGGTAAAGATAGCTACCAACCACAGAATCAGACGCGTTCCTAACCCATATACACAACGCAGGTACCCTCGCTGCGGACAAACAACAACTCTCCACTCCCCTAGCCGTAAGCCGTCTCATGAGCATCCTCACACTGCGATCAAAAATCGCTCAAAACCCAGAGCGATTCGACGCTCTCGAACGGGCAGGGTTCAAGGTCGATCGGGGCGCCGAAGTCGTTGCGCACGTTCATGAACGCTACGGAGGACATTACATGGACGTTGGGAATTGTGCTAATATTGCCAAGGGATTGGTTTGTCACATTACACCAAGTTACATACTGCTGATGAAGTTTGGATTGCTGATCAGATTCCTTGGAATGTAGGTAAAAGTCAAATCTGATAGTCCTCTCGTCAAATTCAGTTCCACGGGACTTCTTTTCGAAGACAATACCCATATCCCTGCCGACGTGGTAGTATTTGCAACAGGGTATAAGTGGAATGCGAGGGATACGGTCGGGCAGCTTTTCGGAAAGGAGGTGCATGATCGAGTTGAGGATTATTGGGGACTTGATAAGGAGGGTGAGGTTAGAGGGGCATTCAAGCCTAGTCCGCGTATGTGGTGCCTCCCCTTTTTTTTTATTTTTCATTCACTCATTCTATCTTTCTTCCCCCTTCCATTCCCTCCCCTCCCCCACCTTTTTTTTTGTTTTTTTCTTCCCTTTCATTCGCTTCGTTTCTGTGGGGTTTATCGAGTTAACGAGGTGACGATTCAGATGGCCATATCTGGTTCATTTCCGGGACTACGACGCATTCGCGGTACTTTTCTCGGTTCATTGCGCTGCTAATCAAATCAGATATAATGGGAGTACCCATCGAGGTGTATCGGGGCATACCTGATGCAGATGAGTAGATGTCAGACGTGGGATGTAACGGTGTTGCACAATACATCTAGGCAGGTTTGAAGATCAAATAGATTGTTGACTTCAACAGTAGTAGTACCTCTACTTTGGAAAACCTAGGTATTTCCGCCCTCTCCCAACAACACTACCTAGTAAGGTTTAAACCTCCCCTTCTCCCTGTTCTTCTTCTCCTTGCGAGAACCCTTTGCAGCCTCCTCTGCCTGGGCAGCCCCCTCTCCTTCAGGCTTCCACGTACGAACGAACCCATCCTCACCGCAAGTGAACACAGAGTGCGACTGTAGTCGTTATTCGTCAGCCCATCCACCCAATCCCATACACATTGAGTCCGGAAGAAGATACATACCTTCTCATCAACAAAGACGGACCGCACAACCTCCTCGCCATGCGCCCCGGGCAACCTCCACACCCCCTCCTGATCGAATCTCCAAGACGGCTCCGAAATGAGGGGAACGAGGTCGAGACGGTTTTCCCTGTAGAATTTCTTAATACATCTTTCCAAGCAGGTAAGGGAAAAACAAGATTGTCTGTGAAGGGGGGAAAACTAACTCCTTATTTCCCGCAGCCACATACGCCCCTTGACCGCCCACACACAACTGCGCAATATACTCACACCCTAACGGCTGCCGCAGATCGCCGAATTGAATGGGGCTCGGCTCCTCGGTAGGATCGTCGGGATCAGTCGCTGGGTGCACGGAGAATACCTCGTCGTGGCTGAGTGCGTAGATGGTGTTGTTGCTGAGGAAGCCGGCGTGGTGCACGGAACCGTGGTTGATTACTTGTACCAGGGCCTCGTCCTCGTCGGTGATGGTCGTGTTGTAGATGTTGACGAGACCGTCGGTGCTTCCAGAAAGGAAGAGGGCGGGGCGTGTGGGGTGGTATTGGAGCTGGGCTGGGTGTCAGATTTTTTGAATGGAACGATGGGATAGGATGGTATGGCGTGCTTGATGAGAAGGGGGTTGGGGTATGAATACCTCTGTTACGTCGTCATTGTGGCTCTCGACGTATTGGAGACTTGTTTGGCCAGGGGATCTTGTGTCCCTGGGGCGTCAGTTAGCAGCTCGTGAATTTCAAGTTGTGGGTGGCCGTGCCCTTGTTGGTGAATAGCCTAAAAGGCCTAGGCAGTGGAATGTCGGTGATTGACTCACCAAAAAGCGACTATGGCTTGGGATGAAACCAGCTCAGTTCCAGCTGCGACTCCGTTGACTTCGGGGCAGCAGGCGACGGATAGTATGGGGGCTTGCTTGGCTGTTAGGGAAGGTTAGCTACGATCCCCATGAAGGATGGATGCAGTGAATAGCAGAATTGAGAATATGGGGCGGGGGACAACTTACATGTCTCCATCTCTACAACAGCAGTCTTCTTGCCGCTGCGCAGATCCCACAGCTTTACTTTGTTGTCTCTTCCTGCCGTAGCCAGCACCTGCTGGTTAGCATCATATGTCTTCAAAGATGTGACGCCTTCATGAGCGCTCGCCGCGATGACAGATGCATGATCGAGCCTGTTAGCGTCGAATACGCGAAGCGAATCATCCGATGAGATCACTGCGAATGATTCCGGCGAGGCAGGCGCAATCGCATAGATGTAATGACCCTCCGCCAGGGAGAGGGAGGAAGATGCAGTGGCTTTGAGCGTGTGCATAGTTATGAAGACAAAGACTTCTTGATAGAGGATACTGTCTCAATGGCGCTTCCTGAAGGGGAGTTTAGCCTCTAGTATATCATCGATAGACCTGTAAAAAGGGTTCTACTAACAACGTGATATCTATGTTGGCCTTTACTGAAAATGGAAACTTTTATTGGCAGAGCGAATCCAATGATCAGAGTACGTGGATGACCCAACCTTGGAAATTGCCGTGTTCCCGGTGGCTGAATCTGATGGTGGATTTGTCGCTGCCAAGCCAAGAAGGGATTCCCGCCGAAATTTTTGCGCAAAAGCGTTTTACAGTCGGTCTCGAAATCCCACTGACCTTGAAACACACACCGATTATTTTCTCGCCCCGCTGCCAAGACCTTAGCGGGGAAGTTATAGAGAGCCACGCGCTTACAAATGAGGGTGGCCAGGAATCTTTATGGTACAATACCTGAAATGTATATAAAACGGTATTGAATTATGCCCTTATGCTAATGGCTTATTAATTTGCACAATCCCACCACGATAATATCTAACCACGGGAGATACCCATGGAAGTACATGGAACCTCCCACCCCGGCACCATAGATCTCAGGGAGCCAGGAACACCTGTTCCTGGTTCCTCGCAGACGAGCCATGTGGCATCAACTTCCCCTTTCTAGCAACCACATATCACTGCCTTGTTGTAACTCATGCAGTTAATAAACGCACAGTACATTCTCAGTTGTTTGATGTGACAAAATAAGACAGTCGTTTCCCAATCCTCTTCGCCTGCAGCTGTTGTTTACTAACCGTTGTTCGCCGGCGAATAACAGCTGCTGAGGCAGCGTAGTGTGCGAGTTTTGACCTGATATTGCTAACCACAGGAGTCATAATTACTAAAGAGATGAGCTCAGGATTATTTAGCCCTGGAAATAATGATGCCACATACCGAAACAAATCATGGCGATGCGATGAGTCGCCATGGTATATACCTACTCCCGGAAATTTCAGTCGTACCTCCTTGCTGTCAAGTCTTAGCCCTATCAACGCCAACTCTCCGTCCCCCTTTATGTATCCCGCCCCTCAGCCACGCGCTTCCTACATATATAAACTTCCGCTCCTCCAGTACGGAGACTGGATTGAAGGGAAGACGTATAATGAGGACCCACCCACCTATATTCACTATTAGATTGAATAGAAGGTTACTCTCAACACAAAGACTGTGATCAAAGATACAGAACAAGATCTGGTTCTTGCCCCTGAATTTTATTGGAGGCTGTTCCTCCTACCAAAGTTGAAAGAGAAGCTATGCCTCAAATATCCACACAAAAAGATTGCATTGGATGACGTGTCCATTGTAGTAACAGTTCCTCAGCATAACAAACTTACTCAACAGTTTGATAAAACAGATATTAACTGGCCTGATATCGAGAGACAGCTTCTCAAATAGGGCCATCACTTCCTTGCCGGCAAGAAATTGAAACTCTTAATATCATTCAACTATGTAAATGACAACCAGGACTCTACAGCCAGTCGCAGGATAACTGACAAGCAAGGTACATCTTCTGCCACCCAGAATATGCTCCAGGATCTTGGTCGGGAGGTCAATACAGAGGAGGAACTAACCGGAGAGCCTGCGGCCTGGAGGCATGTCTACATGGTAATGCGCTGCCCCGGGTCGTGTGAGTTAGGGCCGTACTGTTAGCAGGATCCATACAGAAAGAAACATTATAAACTATACAGAGATAAGCTTTTGAGCCTGGTCCGGTACGTGAAGAGTGGGAAGAGATTAGAGTCCCATAAAGACATGCCTGGCATGATCCGTGAGCAAATCTATAGGGCTAAGAAGCAGCGGCTTGAAGGGGCAAAGAGTCGTAGTCACCTTCCATCAGAGTCAGCCTACCCACTGATTACCATTACAAATGTGCTTCCCGCACACACCACACAGCCGGGTATATCATCGTCGCCACCCACCCCAGAAGACACATCCATCTGTTCCACCAAGCCTTCGCGGCTTAAAATAGCAGGATTCCGTGACGCCAATGTCCAGGCCTACTGTGACTGGCAACAGTCACAAGTTGCGAATGAGTCATGGAAGGATGAATTTCGCAAAGCATGTAATGTAGCTCTGGGTGATAGATTAGACTTAGACCAAATTGAGGAGTTGAGTAATCCTGAATACTTCAAAAATCACGGAGTAAAATGGGGTATTACTCGTCAATTTGTGAGGGATATCAGATACTGGATAGACAACTTTTATTGTTATGTGAATGGTAGGGAGTCAGATTGATGATACTAACTGCGTTGTCTTTGGTCATCAGTTCTTCATAGTCTATCTTCCTATGTATGGTACAGCCGAGAAATGCTATATATATTCGTCTATCAGTACACCTGCATGCCGAAAATGGCCTTCAGCACTCTGCACCCTTGAACCAACAACTCCAACACATCACTCAAGAAAAGCGTCGAATCCTTGATCTGGATTATCTTCATACTCATACCACCTCCGCTTGATAAATTGTTTGAGTTCAGCGAAGAACTCCTCAATAGGGTTAAGATCTGGAGAGTAGGGTGGTAAATATAGCAGCTTAACTCCTGCATTCAGGCACATCTGTTTGACCCGCTCGGTAAGGTGGAAGGATGCATTATCCATGATGATTACGGACCTCGGCTCTGGCCATCTGTTGCAGTGGTGGAGAAGCTGCTCCATGAAATCCTCGAACATACAGTAATCTGCGAAATGAGCCTGCCCCCCAAGATACTCTCCTGGTGTTTTAAAGTGCGTGCCAAGACACGCTAGAACATAAATAGTTAGACTGTATTCAAACTTAACATACGATGTATTGTACTTTCAATACACGTTACTAGAAATACATACACTGTTCGTAAATAATATACAAGGTTCTCTGGAATCTTCTATGCAAATCGGACAAACAGATGCCATAGGCAACAGGTTTGGCCATCTGTCAACATACCAGTGCTTTTGCTCTCCCATCCACACCTGTCACATCTCTGGTGCCTCGAGGGAAATCCTAAGACCCGAGTGTGACAGGCGGTGCTGTGGCGTAAACTCATGTCATCACTGATCATTTTACTTGTTCTGTCAGCTGCAGCTTCCCCAAAATGTGATATATTTGTTGGGTGTGTAAAACTGACATGAACATAATAACGTAACCAGACAACGAAGCGGCGCGACAACGAGCCGTCGTTTTCCCATATAACTATTACTATAAAAATTGGAACTTTACCATTTTTGTTGATAAGATGAATTGAATAGAATATATAGATTCTTATATATAAACTAATAATAAATTACTTATAAAATCCTTCAAAAGATATATTAAATATAAAGATATATAAATATTAAATCTTTATACATGTTTTTACAATATAATAAACACACCGCTTACAGTCTACTAAAGCTAGCTTAATTATGAATAGTACTGTACTCTATGCTGTATTATAGAGTAATTTTATTGAAATTTAGAATAGAATCTTCTACTATTTGGTTATTCTTAGATCTGAATATCTAAATAATTGATGAAGTTTCAATTTTTATAGTAGTAGTTATATGGGAAAACGACGGCTCGTTGTCGCGGCGGTTCGTTGTCCGGTTACGTTATCCCGAGGCAATGACATACTGTCCCTCCTATATAGATGACAACTCACAATTTCAGCAAACCGAACCATGGAACAGAACCTTCAAATATGCCCCTAGAGTCATCCCGCACGACCCGACCACCACCGCCTACCCGACCACCCCAACCAACATGTTCTGATCCAACACCACCAACACCACCACCACCACCACCACCACTAATATGAAAAGGGCTAGGCCCTGTCAGCCATCTGGAATCGGAACATCTATGTTCCGACCCGTCTGGTTCTGGACCTTGACCCGGAGACACCCGTAAGAAGGATGGAAATCTCCAGAGTAGTGAAGGAGTTTACCGGAGTTACAAAGAAAAACTCCCAGAAGAGTTATCTATAAGAAGGACCAACCTGTCCGTAGATTAGATAGTTCTTTCTCTAACGAATTCAACTTCTCTACCAACTACTGTACCTTACGTAGTCCTCCCGGCTTCTTAGCCCGTCACACGGTGGTCTGTAAGAATTATAAATTTCTCTAATTACTGCAGGCTCTCTAGTTCTGCTCTCTATTCTGTGAGGGCGTATATAATAATAAATATTTTCTTGTTATAAATATTATAGTTGTACTTGGGTGGAAACATAGTCTTTGAGTAATAAGCTACAGAATGCTATATATTCTTGACCTGCTGGCAAAGGACTCCCGTAATTACTTTGTTGGCTGTGTCAGTTTCAACATGTGTAGGTTTAGACAGGTCATAGTAGACTAGCACAGGAGCTGATGTCAGGGCCTGTTTCAGGGCCTGGAAGGCTACCTTACAGGACTGGTTCCAGGTAAACAGAGTGTCCTTCCGGGTGAGTTGATTCATGGGCTTGGTGATCCGGCTGTAGTTTCTTATAAAATACTGGTAGAAGTTACAGAATCCGAGGAATGATTGGATTTCTTTGATAGTAGTCGGGTGCTGCCATTCTGTAATCATAGCAGTTTTCACAGGATTAATTTAAATGCCTGTAGTAGTGATAATGAAATCTAGAAATCTAGTTTTTGTTACATGGAACTCGCATTTATGGATTGCTGCTTGGAGTCTGGCTGCCTGAAGATGCTTAAGGACCTGACAGATATGAAACTTGTGCTTTATCTTATTTTTACTGAAGATCAGCACATCATCTATGTATGCTGTGACAAATTTATTTAAGAAGTTTATAAGGATCTCATTAATGAGATGCTGAAAGGCTGCCGGTCTATTTATAAGTCTGAATGGTAATACTTGATACTTGAAGGTTCTATAGCGGGTTCAGAAAGTAGTTAAGTCTTCGGATTCAGGGTCCATGCGAATGCAGTAGAAGCCTTGGCAGATATCAAGCTTTATAAATATTTTTATATTCCGGAGACGGTCTATTATCTTATTAATTAGAGGAATGGAATAGGGATCCTTACAGATCAGGATATTGAGCTTCCGGTAATTAATATATAGATATAGTTCTCCTCCGGGCTTCTTTACTATCAGGATGGGAGAGGCGAACGGGGCTGTATTAAATATAATAAATCCTTTTTTCAGGTTCTTGATAATGTAATCGCGGGCAGCTTCAAGTTCTTCTAGGGTTATTTTATAAAGGGGGGCCGTCCCCAACGGATTATTTTCTTCCAGTTGGATGCGGTAGTCATGGGGTTAGAAGACAGATAAAGTGTCTAACTTCTTTTTAGAGAAGATATC